TAGTAAGCATCTATACTCTAATAATAGTCCGGCCTAGGCGTAGTATAGATACCTCGACGGCGCGTAAATCGAGAGGATCTATTATACGCCCCTACTAGGTAGACCTTACGGACTAGTTCGTATAAGCGGCGCCTACGGACTTTATTAGCTATTACTATATATAGGAGTAGTAGTGTAATCCGAAACTGCAAGGCGTACTATTATACCTACCTACTAAGCGTAATCCTTATACGGTCGGTTATACGGAAGTATATTTATAGGAGAACCTTACTATACGTATCGATCTTAGAGCGATTAAGCTCCTTTACGACGAGATTAAGGAACTCGTTCTTACGCTCCGTAAACTCTATATTACGGATGCGTAACTTAAGGCCGAGCTACCGACGTAGCCGTATAAAGGTAGTGTATTTAATATCGTAACCGTCCTTCTTTAATTCGTCTATAATAAACGGATCTAGTAACGCTTAGAGGTAAAAGAGGTCGGCGATCCGGATATAGAGGGAGAGGTCGTTATAAAGGTCGGCGATTAGGGACTAGCGGCGATTCCTACTATTAAGCGATACGATTATACGGATCGTACGTTCGGAGGCGACGACGTTTTACGTCTCGAGGTATGCCTATATCTCCGTAATGCTTATAGTATCGTTCTATAGCTTAATAACCTTAGGTCGGAGCTCCGCTAAAATATTAGGTAGACGTCCTATAGTTATATATAATAATAGCGCTAGCCGTATAATAGGTAGAATAGAAGGGGGAAGATATAGAAGGTAATAAGCAAGTAGTGTAATAGTAGAAACCTCGGCAAAAATAGGACCGGGTTAGGGTTAGGGTAGCGTCTTCTCGATAGTAGGATAGTAGACTACGGCATATTCGACTATAGCAAATAATAGTAGCACAATTATATAGAGCGAAGGGATATTTATAGGTAAAAAGGTCGTAAAAAAGGATTTAAATGCAATTTAAAGATATTTAGAGGTTCTAAAAGTTAAGAAAACTAAAAATAAAAATCTACTATATATTCAAACTTATTTAACGCACTATCGCTCGTATTAAACCCCCCGTATAAAGTAGAGAGAGAAGGTCGCAGCACTTATTTAAGACCTATTTATCCGATCTAGGGTACACTTATTACCCTTACTAAAGACATTCCGATATACGTAATTTCCGTAGGTATCGTTCTTACTACCCTTCGTAACTACGCACTCCTGCTATTATTAGCCTCTACTACTATTATACGAGCTGCTCGTAATAAGACATACCTTAAACGGGCCCTTCTACTAGATATATAAGCCGTATCGCTCGTTATTTCTACCCCTCGTCCGATTATTATACTAGTTAACTCCGCTATAGTGCTATTAGCTACCGGCATTAATTCTAGGAGCTATTATACTAACCGGCTCTAGATAAGGAGAGCAGCTATTATAGTCTAGTCGAACTTTATCGGGGGGAAGTCGGGGGTRCGGTAGAGGAAGAGGGAGCCTTTAGCCTTATCTATTAGCTYGCTAGCTATAAGGTCGAACTAGAAGCCGGCTGCTTAGAGCTAGTTTATACTAGTTAGTCTCGTAGTCCTAAGCGCTATTATCTAACCTTTTACCTCTTACCTTRTCGCTACGAACGTCGATCTAGCGCTATAGCTCTAGGCTAGCTAGGCTAGCGTCGATAGATTTAGGCATGTAGGGAGCTATTTAGTAGTAATTCTGCTTTATACTAGGAGATAGGGAGGAGGTTAGAGGGTATAGTAAGGTATAGGAGTATTAAAGAATATRTTAGATATTAAAGTAAGGTAGATCGTGTTTAAAGATAAAGAAGGAATRYAAGTAGTAGTCTTATACTCCTCGTAGGYATTACCCGCACGCGTATAAAGTTATGTAAATTACTTATTAGGTGCACTCTACGCTCCCCGGGTCCTATTATTACCGCGTATTCGGCGGATAACCTAGATATATGCGATTATCGTTAGTATTCGGTTACGAAGTAATAATAGTAAGGTAATTATTCCCCTACGGGAAATATATATATAATAGATATAGGGAAAGGCTTTATACTTTTAGGATCCGTAGAGCTAATCCTTAAAATATTTTAAAATATTACCTATTTAGGAAGGAGGTTTTTAATATTAAGGATTAGCTATATTATAAACGTCTTAAGTACGATAACTCTCTCTACTAATTGTACGGCAAAGATACGTAGAGAGAAAGCAAGGACACTTAGATATATATTTTAGATTAATAATTAGAAAATGCCGATCTTAGAAGGAGGAATAAGGAGCTAAATTAAAATTACATTTCTCTCGAATTACGCTCTATAAACCCTAACCGCTACTAAGATACTATTATATAGCCCGCCGGAGAAGGTAGTCTCTACTTTCTACCTCCTCTAGTACTCTTCCGCACCCTCTTCTTAGGCTCTACCTCGGGCTTAATATAATACTCTACTATCCTAGCCGTACGCGCTAGCGCCGATATGCTTCTCGTTCTAGTCTTGCTAAGGATTATACTTAGTAGCTTCTCTACCTCCTCCTCTATCGACGAGTCTAAATGCTCGTTCTAGATATTATAACTACATTCGGTCGCCTAATCTTAAAACTTGCAATTTCCGTAATAATTATAGAAGTAATTGCGCTAGATTATATAGTGCTGCCTCTATTAGTATATAGTATCTTTATACGGGAGAATAATAGAGGTCTCGTACCTAGAACGGGCCCTTACCCGCTAGGTACCGGGTATATAGCCCGCTAGTAGTAGGGTGTGCGCTAGCACCTATAACGCTACCGCTACGAATCTGTTAGTAAGGATGCTTAGACCTTAACTAGAAATAATTATACTAACCGGCTCTAGATAAGCAGAGAGGTTATATATAACTAACGATACTTAATACGCTTAGCTAGGTCCTACGTAGGATCCCTTATCGAAAACCGGTAGCTAGCCTTATCGTCTATCTCGTCTTAGAGGAGTAGGGTAAAGAGAAGGCTAGCATCTCGGAGCTATTTTGTACTAGTTAGTCTAAATGTCCTAAAGATATTATCTAGCGTTTTAACTCTTACTTTAGTTCTACGGTAGTCGACTCTACGCCTTCCTGCTTTATTAATACTAAGATTAAGCAACTATAGCTAGAACTCTATAGTCGCTATTATAGTAGTCGCGCTTTATACGGGGAGGGGCAGAGGAGGGAAAAGGTATTAATATAGTAAAAGGATATTAATTACTATATTTAATACCGTAGAATGTTAGTAAAGGTATAAGGAAAAGGAATTTAAAAGAGAGTGCTATTTTATAGTTACTACTATAAAGCTCTATCTAGTATATATATAATAGCACCTAATACTACTTATACCGGTCGGAAGTAAGTAATACGTAATATACGTGCTCGCTCCCCGGTAGGTGTTATTACTTAGGAGAGAATATATAAAGTAAATAAAACGGGGACTTAGCTATTTTACAAATATCTTATGCTTTCTCCTTACGGAGTATGCGTATAATAGTAAAAGGGAATAATAGCATACTCGAGGAATACGAGAAGCGGAATAGCGATATAGTCTTATTTTCGAAAATAAGCAAAGTAAATATAAAGTATAGAAAAAGGGACACCTGTATTCTACCGAGATAAAACCCTTCTTTCTATAAATAGTAGCCGTATAATAGTACTAGAGAAAGGGTATACACTCCGATTATTAATTTAGTTCTATAAAGGAAATAGAATATCTTATAAAAGGAAAAGGGAAGAGAGAAAGAAATAATAAGCTCTAGAGCTAGCTCTATACCTACCTCTAAAACTACTTTAGTACTATTATACTACCTAGAGAAGGAGATAGCCTCTACTATTTGCCTTTTCCCTTACTACGGCTCGCCTTCTTTATACTTACCTTACGGGGGAATCTTATACCCTTATACTAAGGATCTGCCGCATTACCTACTATATTAGGGTTATTACTAGTATTCTCGCTCTATTTGTACTTAAGAATGCGGTCGTTTAAGGTGTTTACGGAGTATAAGTTCTTCTTACTATTCTAGATGCAATTTCTATAGGTACCCTCTATTATATGCTCCTATTTTATATATTCCTACTATTATTAGCTTTAAATATCTTTATATAGGAGGAAGGCGGAGAAAGAGTACCTTCTAAGGGCCTCTGCCCTCTTTTTACTCGTTCTTATTTAGGATCGGCCGGCCTTAGTAGGCGGTACATTCCTAGTTAATAATATTACCGCTACGAATCTATTAGTAAGGATGCTCGGATCTTAATTAGAAATAATTATACTAACCGGCTCTAGATAATTATCGAGTCTATAGTGTTCTTACGGTCTCTAAGTATTATCTACTTCGCCGGGTCCTAGGTCTTCTTAATTTTCGGGGCGTAGCTACTCGCCGTATCGATTATCTCCGCCTATTCCTTAGTAATATAGAGGCTACTAGTCTTAAGCTAGATTATACTAGTTAGTCTCGTCTAGGTAAGGCGATTATCTTTACTTATATTGTTATCGTTAACTATAAGGCATAGATTACTATTATCGTCCGACGAGTAGTATATATCCTATAAGTCGACGTCGCTTATACCGAAGCGGCGAACTTCCTTCTCGGTTATTATACGGAGAGGTAGAATAGAGTAAAGAGGGGAGGATAGGTAGTAAGAGTACTAATTAGAGTATTAAATGTAGTAGTTATTAGGAGGACTAGGGGAGACGGTAGAAGGGTAGAGGGAAGAGTCTTATAGTATATAAATATTACTCTTACGCGTATAATAAGTTACTAGCAGAAGTATATGCACAATAGCAGCATTAAAGTAAGATATAGGTAACCGAAACCCGTTATATATTAGGACCGGTAACTAAGTAATAACGGGACGGTAATATTATACATATATAAGCAAATAACGACGTTTATTATATGTAATTATACGGGCAATTAAATCAATAAGCGAGGTGTGAAATTACTCTACTTAGTAGCGTTAAGCTATATTAGATCGCGTTGTTGCAGGGAAGTCGCTAAAAGTCCACCGTAAACGGCGAGACGGGCCGGCAATAGACTAAAATTCAGGGTCTCATGGATCCGAGGCCTGTTGTCGACTTCACTCTCGCAATTGACATAAGCGAATCCTCTACATCATTACTGCACTGCTTGCTTGTCCATCAGATACACGAAGATGTCGTTTGAACCAAAAACCAAGGTGGATCTGGATCCGCCCAAAGACGACATCATCAGCCTCGACTATCTATCAAAGTGTGACGGTGCGTTTTGAATGCTGGGACAGGCAGGCATGGTTGCTCACGTTGGTGGTACAGGAAAACACGAAGGCTATCCGACTTACGTGGCGATCAAGGTCGGGAGATTCATGATCCACATGCATACAATAGGCTAACATCGTCAAGGGGACGGTATTCGATGTGACCGGTAATAAGGCATATAGCCCTGATGGCTCTTACAAAGGTGGGTACCGCCCAGAGACATCATGTGAGCAGAATGACTGACCATTGTCAATTTTAGTCTTCACTGGCAAGGATGCATMCCGAGCGTTAGCCAAGTCTTCTCTGAAGCCAGAGGAGTGCGTACCGGAGTGGCATGACCTGACAGACGAGCAGAAGAAGGTCCTCAATGACTGGTACACGTTCTTCAGCAAGCGTTACAACATCAAAGGCGTAGTGGAAGGTGCGCAGAATAGATGAACGAGGAGAACCTTCAATCTGATCAAATATCTCTCATACCTTTTTGCACAAAATATTACGATGTAAGACACCAGCAAACCAGAAACAATCGCAATCCATCCCAGCAAAGCAGCCCGCGAAAAATCGACTCATTGGGTAATTGCCACCATGCGCCAGAACTCCGAAACTCCATCCTCAGGTCAAGATATGCATTCCAAACTCATGATTCGTAGCCCGTGGCAAGAGACGACAGTGCCTGTTATCAAAGTCGCAACTGAGCCTGTTGAGCGCGGCGCATCATCGCCTGCTGGCCGCACGAATGGCAGATCTGGTTGGCGCTGATCCACTCGCGCTTGATGGACCAGGCGCCAAAGCATGAGTGGTTGGGGTCGTTGCGGGCGAAGTGGCAGTGTTTGATGAGACGTCTACCGGAGTGTCCGCAATGAAAGTGGATGACTTCGAACTGGACTCGGATCAGTAACGGGTCCTTGTCTTTGATTTGTGGAAGCTGCGTCTTACCTGACACATTTTGAAGGATCTGGAATTCGTTCCCGTTTGTTCGATGTTGTGCTTGACAAAGGTTTGAGAAGTTCCTATATCATTATCAGCATGAGAAGCTGTGTCATGACATGTTCGAGAATTGGACTCACTCAAAGTATGAGAGCAATTTGGTCGATTGATGCGCAGCGGTACAGGAACGATTCACCAAGGACACAGAAAGATTTCCACCGCAGCTGAATCAGACAACGCAAGCCCGGCAATTGGAGTTGTGTGAGAGTAGACGAGGAGTGATGAAGCGATGGAGTGACAAGTGAGGGAACACCGGGCCCTTTTATGTYGACTTCATGCTCGAGTCTGGAACGCAAGTGGTCTGCTGTAGCTCTCGATGTGACCCATCTCCACATGTCAGTGACGGGCTCCTACTGCAGTATCCTGGTCCTTCGATATCGCGAGACGACCGTTGAGCTCGAGATCCGTAACAATCAATCGCCAGGTTGACGTGGACATGGGTGCTTGCAAGCGGGCGTATCTGGGCATTTTTCGTCCGAGCTCCCTTCTCACGCAGCTGCTTGGCCGAACAAAGACCTCTGTTTGTGAGGTGCGGAGTCCTTGTGATACGAGCATCGTTCTGTTCTCAACCTACCATTGCACTCCGGACTGAACTGGGACGTCACAAAAATGACCAACGAACGAGGGACAGCAGAGCAAGAGCCGTGCCCGCGCAGACATATATGTAATCTATCATTTTTTCACCGCTCTTTGCTCTACATCGATCAGAGGCTGCACCTCCTTGCCGTCCGGGTACATATAATGGGCCCATGCAATCTAAATAGCCTCAAGTTTATCCGTGCAGCGACAGTTGACACAACCTCTGTGATACATGCCGTGGTGGGACAGGTGGGTGCCGATGCCATCTGAACGGTAGTCATGGACGAGCTACGGCTGTGCTCATGCGAGCTGCAATTGACCGTGCGGATGTCTCCGCCCGTCCCTCACCCATGTCAAGCGTCATGCCATCTGCAACGCGATGCCCGTAAATGGGAATTTTGGCGCCTTGTCCGCAGCAAAATGYGATACGCAGCAGACAGCGTGGGCATCCCACGTCGATCCTAGATCCTAGATGCCAGGTGCCGGATCCTTCGTATCACTAGGACTATGATTGCCCCACGATATGTATAAGGTGGAGTGCATAGACCCATAATTCTCCGTGCAATCATCAGAGCCTTTGCCACAACGACCGCAACTAAAACGATGAAACTCACCAACCAGTCAAGGTCTGTGAGTGCAGGCTGTGTAGCATCTGAATCTGAGCGCGAGCATTCGACGTGTCGCACTTGTGTCCACGCTGAATGCGGTGGCACTATGGTGTGTGCAACTGATGTTGTATGCACTTGTATGCTGCAGCTTGATCAAGATTTTCCACCCTTGCGATTCTTGCGCAATGCGCGCTTGCGTCCAATTATCTGGTTGCGCTTCACAAGCTTCTCATCGACCGGCTGCTTCGGCTCGCCCTTGGACTTGTCTGACCGGGCAGTCGTTGTCTTTGACGGCTTCACAGCGTCAGAACCTCTCTTGCGCTTCCGCGAGCCCGGCTTCTCGCCTCTCTTGCCCTTGGAGGGCTTTGCACCTGCATCACCTTCATCCGCTGCCATTCCCTGAGTGACAGCCAAGCTTCGTGCTCTAGCCTTTTGCTCGCTTTCCTTTCGCCGCATAACGACCTGTGCGTTCTCGATTGCAAACTCCACAATCAACCGCTTCTTTCGGTCTTGAGCATCGTCTCGGCTCTGCTTGCCCTTGCCTTCCTGAACCTGATAGCCCAATGCGTGGCCATTGAGCCATCGTAGACCCATCAAAGCACTTCTGTGGGTGTAGTACTCGATGAAGCCGTAGCCGCGGCTCCTTCCCGCGCCGGCATCTTCGCTTACTTTGCTGCCGCCAGCACTCYCAAACACCACTTTGGCCTGTCTGACGATACCCTTGCCTGACTTCTTGCGGGCCTGCTCGGCAATGCGCATCTCCTCGCCACCACGAGATAATTCCTCCTTGGACAGGCGAGCTCTGCGCTCTGCTTTGACGTCAGATGCAAATCCCACAACAGCGTCTCTCGCCAACGCTTTCAATTCCTTGGATCCAATGCTACGAGGTATGTTGCGCACAGACAGTCGAACAAGACTAAGATGCAAGGAGGGGTTGCTCTCGATCAATGTCTTGCGCTGCTTCGCACTAGCTTCACGCATCGCCCTTTCGGATGGTGAGAGCTGCTCATAGAGCTTAGAGTTTGAAGGAATGGTTCCCTCGGATAAGAGGTAGAGCCTGCGCTTGTCATTGTCCCGTTTGTTCCGGTGGGTGGTGCCTTCCTCGGTCAGTCGGTTCGCCTCAGATTTCTCGACAGCCTTCGTCACTTGAAGGACACGGCCGTCCAGGGTATACTGGCCAGTGGGATCGGTACTGTCGTTTTGTAGGATTGAATGAGGAGCCGGAGCGGGTTTCCCGTCCTTGCCCTTCTCTTGTGCAGTGGGCATCTGGCGTGCTGGAGCATTGCGAACACACGCATCGGCGTCTTCTTTGTTGTAGAAGCATACGAAGCCCGTGCCTTTCGACCGCTCTGTGCCATAGTCCATGACTACCCTAGCATAGCGGGTGCTGCCGAATTGCGCGAAGTGGTCTTCCAAGTCCTCATCTGTGCACGTGAAGGGAAGGTTCCGGACGAACAAGGTAGATGAACGATCATCGTGCTTCCTTTTGGGGCGGTCATCCTCGTCATCTTCATCATCCATGTCGACATCACTGCCATCCTCATTGTCATCATCGCTGCTCTCGTTACCAGAGTCTCCGTCTTCGTCCAGCATCTCTTCGTCTGCATCGCCTTGCTCAACAGTTGTCTCATCTTCGTCCTGCTCACTCTCTTCGCCCTTGACCTGCTCCTCATATGCGCCCTTGTCCACTGCCCAATCTACCGCCAACGTCCTTCCGTCGACCTCCTTTCCATTGACGCCTTCAATCGCCCGTTCCGCATTCTTCTTGCCGCGCATCAGCACGAAACCAAAGCCTGCCATCAACCCTGGGCCCTTTTTGGGAATATACGCCTGCTTGACCTTGCCATAGCTGAGGAACAGCTTAGTGAGCTGATCGCCGCGCTTTATAGACCAAGGCAAGTTGCGCACAATCAACTTTGTCGGCTGTACCGGCTCCTCTGGCCGCTTGTTGCCGTGATGCTCCGCCTTGGGCACCGCAGCGCCGTCCACGCCCGGCTCAGCATCAGCGCCAACCTTACGAGTTCGCGGCTCGGCGATCTCGACGCGGAGCTTCTTGTTGCCCAACAAGTGTCCATTGAACTGGGCCTTGGCTTGTGCAGCGTCTTCTGCATCAGCGAAAGTTACGAAGCCATATCCACGACACTCTTTCGTGGCCGGGTCTGTAACGGCAGTGGCGTGTTTGACGGGGAAGGATTCGGAGAAGAGGTCGGTCAAAGACTCGGAGGTGGTGTCGGCGGGTAGCTGGCGTACGAACAAGGACCTTCGCTGCTTGATGGCCGCCTCTTTTTCGTCCTTTTCTACTGCCTTCTCCACAACTGGGACTGGGACCGCTGTGCTTTCGGTCTCCTCTGAAGCTTCATGGTGCTCCTCAACAACGACCGCAGTTCCATTTGAAAGGCGTTGCTTTTTCTTTGCCGCTCCCATGGTCATGGCTGCACAGACTGCGATGTGTGTGTGCTGCAGCAGAGGATGTGAATTTCGAAAACGTGAGTTCCCAAACTTTTTGCAGATCACGCTAGTGATAGCTCAAACTTAATTTCAGCTCGGGTTTCTCTCCGTGCAACAAGGCCTGGTGAATTTGAAAGTTGCCGCCCTTCCTTGGGGCATCTAAAGATTTTGTGCTATCTGCAACAACGGCAATGCCCTTGAGAAGATCTCGTTCGACAAGAAATTTGACTCTATGAGATAATCCTTATTTCGTGCCTATAGCTACCTGTTCGCTAGCATTGTCGTCGATTCACTCACTACGACGAAAGCCGGCAACCTTCAATTTCACCAGGCCTGGATGTTGATTCTCGCAATCGGGGTTGCAGACCCTCCCTTACTAGAATGCATCCCGATAGGATATATTCGCGTCAATTTTACCCTCTTCATCTCGTCCGTCCGCTTCTGCGCGTTGCACGTTGACCATCGCTTGCATCTTCCTTTCCGCTCCGACCTCCCAGCTTGTCCAAGAAAGCGGATGATCTTGACTGCTGTCCAGACGTATTATCAGCGTCGTCTCGGAGAAAGGCCCTTCGCAATACACAAACCTCGCTGTTGTTGGTTTCCTTCCGCTGGCTTTCTAACGCGGCCTTGACGGCACTATCGATTCTTTCCTGGAGGCGATGCTTTGCCGCCTCGTCTTGCACGTCGTCCATAATGTCTACGCCCTTACAAGCGGTTCCCAAGCTAAGCAGAAGCCGGAGTATCAGCAGATGTGTCAATCTTGGAAATCACTAATCTCACCTATAGTCCATCACTCCGATGTGACCAAAGTTTCCAGCGGAACTACCGCTCTTCACGGAGTCAAAATGTGCTTCGATACGCCGAGCCGCTGTGCGTGTCAGCCGTAGAAAACTAGCCTCACCGCAATTCCGACTTACTTCCCGCGAGCAAGATTGCTGAAGGCAGAACGTTGTACCCTGTGTCGAGCCGAGATTAGCTTTGATCACTTCTTCGAAATCGCTGCGTCCCACCGGAGAATATGAAGAGCTCTTCCAAGCTGGTTAGAGCCAAGAATGTGAACCACGTTAGAGCATGCCATCCAAAGCAATACGCCGGTAGGACCGTCGGAAGCCACGTGCACAGCAGATAATTGACGGGATGGTCGTACGCTGCGACTACACTGAATGGGAGGTCAACGCTATGATGCCAGCGAAGATGCCATGTCTTGAGGACCGTTTTGCGGCCGTGCAGCACATAGCGATGGATGTAGTAGTGCGAGACACCCCTTACAGCGAATCCCTGGGCTAGATGTATAGCAACGCTCCAAGGCAAAGGCATTGTCGGTATACGCGATATTTTGATCAGGCTCCGGAAGTGGAAGAGCTCAGTCCATGCCCACTCCAAGCCGACCTGCAAAACGACGCCAAGTAGGACGTTTCCTACAGCCACGCCAACAATACTCAGAACCCTCTTTCGACCAAGTTGATGAGGAAGATGCCTCGCTCCGCGTGCTTTGACATTTTTGCTGAGCTTCGGAACTATGCAGTCGAATGCGAGGAACAGCAGGGCTGGGAGAAGATAGAAAATGAGCCTCACGAAAAGCGTGCCATAGAACTCAAGAGTGAGTGGGTCATGGCTACGACAAACAGTCAGCTTGGGAATATGTTCGGAAGCAGCTTATTGGCGGCGTACCTCAGAAGTAAGATCGTCCAAGTGAGGTAGACAAACACCAAGCTCATGCGCGTCGAAGACCCCCCGAATAGGGGTACCGCAACGAGCGATAGAAATGGTAGCGGTAAGCTGATCAGGTTTGTAGCTTTTCCGACCAGAGTTGATAGCCCAAAGCTACCCAGGCGACCTTGCCAGTAGCCGTAGCCTGAGAAGCAACAGGGGTGATTAGGAAGAGCGCGTTTATTATGTTATTGGGACTTTCTTCTACTCAACACATCATGGTGTCAATTTGAGATTCTTTACCTACTGTACTGGAATGAGTCCCACATGGACTGCATTATCCCACACCCCTAAAAATATCAGCTTTCTGCTATCGTGGATCGCCAGGAAAATTCTGATAGTCTTACCTCAGATACCGGTGAGCAGGACGCTCGCTAGGCGACAAGTCTTCCCTGCCTGCAAGCTCCAGGCACGGCACACCTCAAGGCGTTCTTTCAAAGGGCAGCAAAGAAGGAGTGGGCAAGAAAGATCGTAGGTACCTACTCGTGGACTTGATGTGTTTGTTGTCAGCCCTATGACGTCTGAAGCTTGCTGCCTTCGTCGCTTCCAAGTAATTTGATGAACTCCTCTCCGACGAATGGCCTTCAATCCTCCGACAAATTCCCTGTTCGATAAAGTATTTTCCGCCACAACACGAGAAACGTCGCGTCTTGGAAGCAGCGAGCGCCAGCGGCTATTATTGCTCACGATCCCTGCGCACATTCAAATTGGGCAACCTGGACGAAGGCGCGACGGCGTGTGGCTGCAACCCCTGCCGGTCTGAAAACAGTCGGGTCTCGCATCTCACTCCGAAGTGTGGGGAGCAGTACAGCCCGTCTTCGCATGGTGGAGTTACATCCTCCCCATCCAACTAGGATTTCCAATCTTCGAAACCCGTTGCGGTGCTCAGAAACCGTTGGAAAAGACTTGTGGCTGCCGTCGAATACAGCGTTTCTTTGCATCGGAAATTGTTCCCAATGGCWAAAGAWTTGCTGTTGGTGTAGTTTTGCAGAATTGATTCGCTGCTAACGTACCCGAGCTAGGATACTCGAGGGCAGCCGATGCAAGGAGATGCTGCAGTGAGTAAATCATGGCGCGACAAGGTGTGAAGGCGCACTCACAAAGCGAGGGTAAAGTTCAGCCTCCGCAGCAGTCAGAAGCTACCACATATTCCCATGCAGAGCATGGCGTCGGCATGCGCATGCGGCTCAACGGTTCTCGGCACGCTTATCAGTCCAGGCTCAATGCCGATTCGGGGCCGTAAACGGTATCAGGCGTGACATGAGGATAGCATGTGGGAAAGGATGAAGGCCGAGAAGGCGACCCAGAGCCTGCATATGAGTCAGATGATGGCCGAGCAGTCCCATTATCACTCCTTCCAGCATCCGCGGATAACATCTGCTTGATGGATTCGTAAAATGATCAAGGACCTCGGGCGTTGATTACAAAGTCTCGCTAGCAGTATATGCCAGAGGAGTAGTAGACAGTGAGTTCCCAGCGGAATACCCCCCAGCCGCAAACAACAATGGCCGACTACACAAGCAATGCATTTCTGGAGCCTAACCTGCGGCTTTGTATCGAAAATGAGAATTGGAGAGGCAAAAATGATCCCACCGAAAGACGACGCATACAGAACAGACTGAACCAGCGTGCTTTTCGGCAAAGGCAGCGGTCTGGAGACCATCAAACAAAGCAGTACAGGCCAAGGAACGACTCTAGTGGGCCATTCTCTCCACAAGATGATGAAGAAGAGCAAATTTCACCATTCGATGAGGAGCCTTCCTGCCAAGGTTGTTGCAATGCAAAATCCTTGCCGCTTGCAGTCTCGACGGAGCTGACTCTTGCGTAGGTCGTGCTTTCGACGAGCTGGCTCAGCTGATAAATGGAAACTTCATGGTAGCAGCCGCAACGAATGCTCGTCATCTAGGAATCGACGTTGCTACACTTCAACGTGCAAGGCCCATCTTGACTCCTAGGGGAATGAGACCAGTACCTCCAACGTTACAGCCGGTTGAACTTCAACATCAGATACCACACGATTCTATTATCGATGCGATCCCTCATGCTCGCCTCCGGCACAACATTTTGCGGGCGATTGCGTGCCAGCAGCTGAACGCAGCAGAGTTCTCGAGCTGTCTTCGCGCTTCGGGTGCACTAGAGAGCTCGCAAGGACACTGGCAACGCGGTGGCTTGGTCGTGTGGAGCTTGCCCGAACAGCTCACTAGCTGGGAGCTCTCTGAAACATTTGTGAGAAGGTTTCCCTATCTGCTAGAAGGCTGCGAAGACCTATTGGCCTCCACTAATCATTGGAGGGGACGGCGTGGTGAGAGGCTGTTTCCGCCATCAATCTGGCGGTGATGACTGCCTGGWGTGTCAGTCTGTAAGGATATATTGATCTGCTTGGATAGGCATTCCAGAGGAATCCAATAATGTAATGTCGATAATACAGGCTTGCCGAATGTACCCAGGACAAATCATCTGTCATCRGATAGGGCATGTGCCCCGCTCTGCCGACTGCAAATGCAGTGAGCAAGAGAGCGCAGACGTCTTCGCGTAAGGCTGGTATCGACGCCTCGATGTGTTACGTGCGATGCAGTCGGGGATCGATTTGAAAGGAGTAGGGCCGAAGCGATAAATTCTTGCATGGGGTTGCATGCTCAAGGCGATCGGGAGTTGATCAGGCAATCGGTGTATATCGGCAGCTTCGGTATGCCGATGCATTCGGATGCATCTTGGTGGGATTTTATACCTACATGACAATCACACGGCACGGCAGTTAGGAAATAGATGTACAACATCTCTTTGCATCGGAGGTCGTTTGTATCTACAAAATCCTTTCGAGCATGCGAGGATGCTCGGGTGCGTTAGTAGCGAATCAGTTCTCGCAAACCTACTGCGACAGTGGATCTTTAGCTAATAGAAATAACTTTCGATGCAAAGAGACGCTGTATTATGGCGAAACGAGAAACTTATCATCATTACTGTTATGGTGAACAAAACTGGTACCTACCCTAGTATTACCACGTTGGGATGGACCCACGGTTTATGTTATGCATATTATTTAGGGCGAGTTAGCTCCACTTGTATTGTTTGATCGTCTAACTCGTATAGGACGATCGCGAACGTGTGCCCGTCCCGTTTTATATCGAACTGTATCTCCTACGTACCGACCTTACCCTTGTCGCTTTCTCAAAACCCCGGGAGAACACCCGAGTCATGAGGCCATGAGGATCCTGTTCACAGCCAAAGTGTTGTCTGGAAAAACGTTGCACTGGAGTGCTGTACAACGTAGTAGTCGCCGAAGGGAGGTGGGATTTGGGCTGTCGCTCAATCAAAATGAACCTTCTCGTAGATCAGGGGCTAAAATCAGCCTTGTCATATTTTGAAACCAGGTCGCTCGCCTGCCCACCTTTGCGACTCGAGGACGGTGACGGCTTGAGAGATCCAGGACTTCTGGTGCCAACGACATCACCGTCATCTTACCGACAATACAGTTTTCGTGGTGTGCCGACCGGGCGAGCTCCAAGCATCCAATCATCACGCTCCCACTGACGAAGACGAAATTGTGGTGATGATTCATGGGGTTCACCTGACCGGAGTCTCGGGCCTTCGGATCAAGCAAAACAGCTGATTCTGATTCCCGTGGTTATGGCGGACCTCGAGACCATGGAGAGCCGCAACGCCGTGCGATCGCGGGGGACGCGCCGTGGCTCTGACGGACGGCTATCAATACCCAAACGCAAGATCAAGAGCAAAGGTGCCAATCCGCAGGTGCTCTCAAGCATCATCTCATCCCTGGAGAGCGACACCCTCGCCCCGCTGCCCGACAACGACATCTACGGCGGCACCCTCGCCCGTACGCATTCGCGCGCCTACTCGTCCGACCGATCTGTCACCAGCGCCCCATCAATCCGCCGCGCGACCAGGTCGCCTTCGCCCGGATTTGGCGTCGAGTACGGAGTGGGCCTCGAGCTGGAAGATGAAGAGGGCGTGACAGGAGCTGCACTGCCACCCACAGTTCCCACGTCGCGATCGCCCTCGGGTCTATCAAACTACACCGTCAACGCAGCCCCGCGCTCGCCCGTCTTCGCCCGCTCCAGTTCGCGCGTGAGCAATGTGCTGACGAGCGCCTCTCGCCGCAGCTCCGTTTCTGCTCCACGCCCTGCGAGCCCGCGCAACAAACTCAGCTCGGAGAGCTGGGTACGCCAGAGTGAAGACGCGGGCAGCGAATACTCCGGGAGGAAGGAACAACGCAAGGGCGGGCGCTTGCGCGGACGGAGCTCTTGGGACACGTTGACCGCAGGGTACTCAACACCTTCGGCGGAACATGTAGGAAGTCCGGCTACGTCGCGCGCCGAACAGATCATCGCGCGTACTCCATCACACATGTTGCCGTCAAAGGGCAGACTTTTTCTCGCCGACGTGGCCATGGACGATGCCAACAGTTCAACTGCTGGATACTACCCATCTCCACCCAGGTCTCCACGAGTCGATCGCAGCGCTGATGTACAGCAAAGGGCAGCATCACCAGATGTCCAGTCCACTGCCTCGATCACACCCCCAATAGTGCACAAAACGCCAAGTCCAATTACCGACTCAATTCCCACCAGGACATCATCCTTGAGAATGTCTAGTAGCAGCCCGGCTGGCGGGAGGAGAAAGTTGAAAAAGTCCAAGAGAAACAGCTTCCTTTCCGAAAAATCCGAATCATCTACCAAGAAATCTCCAAAAATCATTTCGGATTCAAAGTGGGATGACTTGGATGCAGACGACGAGACTGTCAAGCGAATTCGACAGCTTAGAGAGCAGAGAAGGTCTAGGCTACAGGAATCTTTCTTTCCACCCGTGGAAGATGGCGCCGAGGAGCCGTATGAACAGGAAACTTCGTCTCGTGGAGTTGCAGCGCATTCAAGCGACGGCATCACACGTACTCCCTCCGACCGTCCACCAGCCAATCGCTCCGCAACGGAGCCGGCGAAGCCCCGGTACTCCTTGTCAGATGGTACCGAAGAGGCGCAAAAGCCGCTGCAGGCAGTAGACGAAGCGCAAGGCGGCTCAAAAGCTGGGAATGTGCCCGATGCAACGCGCGCGTCCGAAGGAAGAAGGCCGGTTCCTACGCAATATCGGCCCATGACTGCGAAGTCAGAACAGTCAACATATCATCAAACATTCTCTTTGGACTACTCATACGCGGAAGCCGTCGATGTACTGCACGGTATCGCTCATAACAGAACTGCATACAAAAACGACGATGTACCAAAACCTACTGTCGAGCCTAGTCCACTCTGGCTACAAGGCCTGGATCTTCCGGCACCCTCAAGCCAAGCCACAGTCGTGACACCAAAGCAGAAGTCTACGAGATTCAAGAAGTCGCCGCGAAGTAGATGGACAGCTCAACCCGACCCTTCACAGGAATTCAGCAACAAGAGACATCGTAGGAAGTCGATGAGCGATGTTCGCCAGTCTCAAGTCGCGGAGGAGGCAGACGATCTTCCCCGCCGAGACAGCATCGAGGATGCCGTGGCTGACTTCCTGCGTGCACCACGTCTAAGTCGCACGGTCAAGAGTCCCAGCACTGGCCGTACGATCGCATTCTCTGAAGTAGGAGACCCTGAGGGTGCCGCAGTATTCATTTGCGTTGGCATGGGACTTACGAGATACGTGACTGCGTTTTACGACGAATTGGCGACCACATTGCGTCTTCGCCTCATCACCGTAGATCGTCCAGGCGTAGGTGGCAGCGATCCCTATCCCTCATCGAATAAAAGTGGACCTCTGGGATGGCCAGATGATGTCCTTGCTATCTGCCAGGAACTGGGCATTGCAAAGTTCAGTCTGCTCGCTCACTCAGCCGGTGCAATATATGCGCTCGCTACTGCACTCATCCTCCCTCACCTGATTAAGGGTAAGGTTCACCTCTTGGCCCCCTGGGTACCGCCCAGCCAGCTCGAAGCGATCTCGCACCCAACAGCGTCGACCCTTCCCGCGAATCCTCTGCCTCGTAGCCAGCGGTTTCTGCGAGTGCTCCCTACGCCGTTCTTGAAGGCAGCGAACACCTCGTTCTTGTCCGCCACTTCGACTTCACTAAAGCCTGCCAGCAGACGGAAAGGTGACTCTGGAWCCAACAGGACTCCTCCCCGCCGAGGCGCGGGACATTCTCCGACTAGACCTCCATCTCGCGGCAATCGAACAGAAGACAACAGGCGCGAGTCGATGATGCTTATGGATCAATACATGCCGACCACATCTCCCCTAGAACCTTTTTCGCCTTCGTCCAGAGGAGCCGAGGAGAGCGACTTGATGCTTTCCGCTACGGCGGTCCCGACCGATCCCAGCTTCACGTACGCCTCTACGGGCCTCAACGCAGCCGAGCACGCCGAGACTCAACGACAGAGTGAGTACACGAGCCGTCTGACACRGAGCACGTGGGATCTCGCCACGCGCGATAGCAATCCGGCAACGGATCTCGTGATCTGCCTTGAACGCAATCGGGATGTCGGGTTCCGCTATACAGATGTCACGCGCGAAGTGGTCATCACGCATGGCTCGGACGATAAGCGCGTTCCGATCGCCAATGTGAAGTGGCTTGCGGAACAGATGAATCGCAGGGCACTCGGCGTACAGCGTGGAGAAGATGGGCGAGAGAGTAGAGAGGCATGGGGGGATCCATCCTCCAAAGGTGGCTGCGAGGTCAGAGAGTTGCCGGGCGAGGGGCACGGTTTGATGGCCAGTCCAGTCATCATGGGCGACATCCTGACTGAAATTGCCGCGCATTGGATCGGATCGGACAAAGGTCGCGTGTGAGGCGAGGGAAGAGATGGCCAAGCGGGAGTTGAAGGGCAATGTTCAAGATACCCATTGTTTAAAGTAGTAGTATATAATTATTCCAACCTCAATTCAGAAAGTTCGTTCGCCTACTTCCAGCAGCTTCTTCGTAGAACGACGACGGCACTTGCTCAAAGCAGTGATGTATTTGAGTATCATCAAGTTGCCGCACGCTCATTCAAGAGTGAAGTGTGGTGAGACGAGATGATATTGAACATCCGCCTGATCATGCCAAAGGACTATCTACCTTTGATTCGATAGTACTCAGGGGCATACTCCAGTAACCAATTCTTCTCAATCTTTGTCACGTCGCGAATGAATGTTTTACTCCCAGTCTCCATGACTTCTGTGAAAATGACCCAATCTGCTTTACGATTGAACATTAAGCTTGATGGGTGAGCATGCAACACAGTCGTCTCGTCAACGGTTCGAAACGTTCCATCTGGCTGCATGCGAGCAGCATATGCGAAGAAGCCGCTGGCCAGACACCTCCGAATAGACTCCTCCTTGGACCTCCCACCAAGTCTCAGCACGTCGGTTTGACTCAGAGACTCGTTGACATCGATTCCAAAGCGTTCCAGATTGCGCCTAAGCTGGTTGCGAATACTGACTGCTCGGCTCATGGACTTGAAGTTTAAATAGTGCTGCTGGCACCATTTCGCATCTTTCTTTCCCTTCGTTACGAAGCTTTGATAGACATTCAAGAGAGTGAGGTGGTCGCCCTCTTCGGCGGCAAACTTTCGACGTGCAGTCTCTTCGGCTTTCTTGTTGTCGTGGGAAAACCATACAGATCCCTGAAGGCTCACCATTGCACATATAGTAAGCATCTCGCTCACGCAGCCAAAGGCGGGAGCAGACAGCATACATTTCGCCAGCATTGGTTCCAGCGCGAGCTCGGCCATGCGCTCTCCAAGAGGTTTTGTGAGTTTCGCATAATCGTCCAGTGCACCTAGTGAGTACAAGAGGTCTAACGCGCGGAGAATGAGCTCAGCTGGTGGCGAGGTCATGAAACCGAAGCGAACAATGTTGTCAATGCCCAAAGCCTTGAGCTGTAGGATCATGGGTGCTAGATTCGATCGTTGAATCTCCGGTACTGTCGCGTCATCAAGTGAAGAGAAAGCGGCTTCCGTGTAGAGACGATAACATTTTCCCGGCTTCGTCCGTCCAGCTCGTCCAGAACGCTGTGTCGCTGATGCCTTTGATACTGGCGTTGCTGTCAAAGTCTCGATCCCAGTTATGGGGTTGTATGCACGCAGCTTCACAAATCCGCAGTCGATTACATAGATTATGCCATCTATGGTCACGCTTGCCTCAGCAATGTTGGTAGAACATATGACCTTGCGCGTGTGATCTGGAGCTGGCTCAAACACATACATCTGTGCCTCAGTGCTCAAGCCGGCATACAGCGGCAGCGGTAGAATTGTGTCGGATCCCTTGGGCAACGAAGGTAGGCGGTCTGCAATCATCTCGATGACCGTCTCAATTTCTTCTCTGCCTGTCAGGAAGAGCAGAATGTCACCTTCAGGCTCGGAGGTGTGTATGTCGAAGATCGCTTTGACGGCTCGCTCGAGGTATTCCTCGCATGGCTGACTCAAGTAGTGTATGTCGACGGGGTGAGCACGACCCTCGATACTCACAATCTGCCCAGTGCTCTCCGGTGAAGCCTTCTGGCCATCCCCAGGACTATCATTTGCATCGAAGAAATTGAGGAAGTCTTCCGCTTGTAAAGTCGCCGAGCTTACCACGATCCTAAGCTCTGGTCTGCGTTTGCGAATCTTTTTTAGCACGCCCAGCAGCACGTCAGAGCTTAGACTACGCTCGTGAGCCTCGTCTACCATGATGACGCTGTATCTTGATAACAGCGGATCCACCAGCGCCTCTCTTAGCAGGAGGCCATCTGTGAGGAACTTGATCCTGGTCGTGACAGAAGTCACGTCTTCGAAACGAATGGAATAGCCCACTTGCTGTCCCACCTGGCATCTTGTCTCAGCAGCCACTCGACTTGCTACTGTCGTTACAGCCACTCGACGGGGCTACAAAAGGATCTGTTAGCTGCTGTCAACCATCATGATGGTGTACGGAGATGGGATCATACTTGCTTGTGTCACGGCAATAATCTTGCCATCGTGGCACCATCCCGCTTGCTCAAGATACTGGGGAAGCTGAGTCGTTTTACCAGAGCCAGTCTGACCAATTATGATGGTAACGGGGTGCTGTTCAATGGTGTAGAGTAGGGCATCTCGGTGTCGTGCGATTGGGAGCAGCGATGATGGTTTGTGCAGCGCCGGAATGAAAGAATCGAAGTCGGCCATATCGAGGATGAAAGGATGATATCGAGCCGGGTGAAATGTCGTCGGCAATTAACGCACCGGTGGACGAGGGCTACTGGCGATATCGTTCGTGGCCTTCACAATTACTCTCCTTCTCATTCAGTCGTGGCATTTGGCTAAAGAGTGAAGATTGTAGTCAGCAGCTATGTGGGCGGCCCCACACGACGYCAGACGCCAGGCGGCAGCACTAAAGGCGTTTGCTCGTGCGCAAACGCAGTTGAAAGTTGAAACCAAAGCATACACGACAGTTCAATCGCAATCTCAGCAACATCGCTGCCGCAGACTACCTTCAGCCCATCGACCTGGAGCTATGGCTGCCGACAACACTCCCGTATCGCCCATCCGACCCGAAGAATCCGTGACGACTCGAGAGGAGATGGACTTTGACGACCACGAGCAAGGCAGCGGTACCGTGTCGCCCCAGGGCCACGAAACGCCCACAAAGCCGGTAAAGGCGCCATCTCCTCGTCCGCGAGTATCCTTCCAGGAGCAAACCGAGGACATCCCACCTTCTAAGCCACCGCGGCCTGTCAGTCCGAATCAACAGGCTGAGATCACGCTCATTGAAGCCTTCCCCACCATTGACACCAAAGTCGTCAAGGCTGTTCTCATTGCCAGCGGTGGCAAGGTAGAGCCGGCGTTTAACGCTCTACTGGGCATGTCTGACCCTGATTTCCGGGTGGAAGATGCTCAGCCTCCTCCTCAACCGCCCCGTCCGGCCCAGCGTCAACCTCTCAACCAGCTAGAAGCCGATGAGCGTCTCGCGAGGCAGCTAGCGGAGCAGTATGGTTCGAGTGGTCAGAGCTCGGGTCATCGATACAATCAACGTGAGCCAGGCCGGCGGGGTCCGAATCAGCAGCGCAACCCGGATGATGATGACAGAGAGCGCAGCTTCTTCGACGATGACCTGCCCGAGATTGGCCGCAACATCCAGGAAGGCTTCATGGAGACGCAAAAGCGAGTCAACAGCTGGATCACTACCTTCAAGAAGAAGATCGACGGGGAAGACGAGGATGGAGGCGATCTATACAATTCCGCGCAATCTGGCGCCAGAAAGAATACGACCGACAACTGGCCGCCGAGACAGGACTTTGGCGCGAGCCGGGCTGAGCAGTTGTACGGAATTAGGAAGTCGGCAGAGCAGCAACAGCGGAGGAGCACTGAGACTCAGCGCTATGATGCTGATCCAAGGGAACTCGGCGAGGACGAATTCGAACGTCTGGAACTTAGAGACGACGAAGCGCGTACGTGATTCTCTGATGATTGAGGTCTATAGTACATTCACTGACAATGAATATAGCCCCTCCGCAGCCTCCTCGGACTAGCAGCAGGAAGACAGCCAATCCAGATCTGTTCAAGCCGCAGCCAAAGCCTCCTCAAAGCGGGCCGGTCGATGAGGTGGATGCGGCTGAGCGTCAAATCGCTGGCAAGGATGCGTCGCAATCAGGGAAAGACAAAAAGTGGCAACCCCTGACCAACGTCAACCCAACTCCTACTGCAGAAGACGATGACGATCCTTTTGCGCTTGGAGATGACGACGACGAAAAGGACGGCAAGGAAGATCTTCGAAAGGAAGATACGGCGAGACTGAAAGAGTCCGCTAGGAACAGCATCAGTGCAGGCAGTGGCGCCGACTCCACCAAGAAAACTTTGGAGGAGAGTGAGACCAGTGCCTCCGGCAGGAACAAAGATGCTGAAACTATCTTGACGGGCGAGAAGCCATGATTCATCAAAGTCATACGCATCTCTGGCTCGTCCTTGCAAGGCATGCCTTATTGTCCAGCCAACAACGTTGGAAGCGTTCTTGGCATGTGCGGCTCCATAGGTACCTTAGCTTGGTGGTCAATGAAGGTGTTAATGATATATTGTCTGTGCCCAATTATACACGCAGGACACCCGATCTCCTGCTGTTGATTGTCTCTAGCCTTTTGTATAGGTGACTCCTGCTGTCGACACTTTTTAGCCTTACATAGATAAAATATTGGATGAGCAGTACAACGTACGAACGTACCTGAGGAATCAAAGAATTTGATCCATCTCGGAGTTAAATTTTAGCGCGTCCGAAGTCTCACAAATTTGTCTCGTCACCCTCACACTTCTCTCCATCAACATACTAGCCAACTCAATTATGGCGAAGAAACGCAAGGCGCCGGCTCAATCGCAGGAGCCAAAGGAAGCCCCCGAACTGGATGCTGCAGATGCCCGCAAACGGATCACGAGCTACAAGGATGTCGCGGATTCCGACGACGAATTCCACCTTAATCAGGACGAGATACGATTAGGCGAAGAGCCACAGGCCAAGCGTCGCCGCAAATGGGCCGAGCAGGAAGAGTTCTTGGAGCAGTCGGACGAAGAAGTGCTAGGCTATTCAGACGAGGAGGAAGCAGAAAGTGAGGGAGAAGATGAGACCGCCCCGCGCAAAGCTCTGCAAAGTCGCAAGAGCGCGCGATCAGACTCGGAAGGCTCCGACGACGGTCAAAACGATGGCAACGATGATCAAGAGCTGGGATGGGGTACTTCCAAGGCCGATCTGTACGGCGCCGACGAGATTGAAACCGAGGAACAGGCACTTGAGGAAGAGGCGGAAGCCCTGCGTTTGCAGAAGCTACAGCTCGAGTCCATGAACGCCGCCGATTACGAGCTGGACGAGGACGAATGGAAGCAAAGTGCCGGCCCAGAGACTGCCGAGGACGACGACAATGGTGTTGTGACTGAGGTCATTCCCCAACTACACATTGCTGCCGACTTAGGCCCCGCAGAGAGACTGAAACTTCTCAAATCAAGATATCCCGAGTTCGAACTTCTAAGCCAGGAGTTGTTAAGTCTTCAAGATACCCACACACAATTGGCCAAGACTGCGGAAGTCTCTCCGATATCTCGCATCAAGTTCAGAGCAGCCTCGGCATATCTTGGAGCTTTGGTGATGTACTTTTGCTTGTTCACCTCGACGGCATCCCATGGTGAGGGTGGAGCAGCAGCAATGTCTGCCACTCAACTTCGAGATCACCCTGTCATRGACAGCCTAGTGAAGTGCAAGGAGGTCTGGTCTGGCGTGGAGCATCTGGTCGAGGACGGCACATCTGAAAGCGAAGAAGATCTCGACTCCAACGCCGACGCTGCTAGTACAGATGGAGAAAGTGAGGAATCGGTGGTCATTGATTCCAAGCCGGCGAAGAAGTCCCGTGCAGAGCGGCATGCAGAGGCGGCCCAAGCAGCAAATGACAAGCGAAAGGCGGAACGTATAAAGCGAACAGAGGCCGATCTCGCCGATCTGGACTCTCTGATTGCCCCGCATGCGAATCGCAAGACCAAGACCAACAAGACGGCTCCGCTGGACGTTAATAGCGACGACTCTGACCTGGGCGAAGAGGCGCCTCTGACCGAGCGTGAGGCGGCCGATAAGGCTAAGCGAAAGAAGAGCTTGCGTTTCTACACTTCGCAGATTGCTCAGAAGGCGAACAAGCGTGGGGCTGCTGGCAGGAGCGCTGGAGGCGATGATGATATTCCGCACCGGGAGCGACTCAGAGACCGGCAAACACGCCTCAATGCGGAAGCAGAAAAGCGTGGCAAACGAAGCGCAAACATTGGCTCAGAWCTTGGCGGAGACAGCGACGAGGATGATCGCCAACAAGCAGCGCAGATTCGAGCTCATGCTGAGGACGACGACTACTACGACATGGTAGCTGCCAAGGCCTCAAAAAAGAAGAGCGACAAGGCTGCTTTGTCCGAGGCTCAGCGTCAAGCAGCACTTCAAGGCGGCAAATTGATACAAGAAGAGGTGGTTGGACAGGATGGAAAGCGCAAGATCAGCTATCTGATCGAAAAGAATAAAGGGTTGACACCACATCGTAAAAAGGACGTCCGTAACCCTCGAGTGAAGAAGAAGAAGAAGTACGAGGAGAAGAAGAAGAAGCTTGCGTCTATCAAGCCCATCTACAAGGGCGGTGAAGGAAGGGGTGGATATGGAGGAGAGTTGACTGGTATCAAGAAGGGATTGGTGAAGAGCACCAGGTTGTGATCGTATAATGGAGATGGACAATTGCACATTGGGCATCATTGGGAATGCTGGCTGCTGTTTATGTGCAAAACCCGCGTGAATGTCGCGTTCTGTCTGTTTCTTCAACACTAACATCCACTGACTACTAACGTTGAGCATGGACAACAAGACATCGAATAGCACCAACACTGCCAAGTCGCCAAGGAGAATAGGGCGCTCGCATCAACGGAAGCGTTGAGCTTGAGGCGAAATTTTACGAGTGGTCCAAGCAAATCAAGCAAAGCCGTCTAGCTTGTCGATCTTTATCTTTTGCTCCCCCAATGCATCGCCATGTGCGAACCACGAGACGAACGACTGCCAAGATGAACATCGCCCGCATTCTCAGCTTCACGCATGCAGAAAATAATCTACACAGTCCATGCATAATGAAATATGATCAAAGACTGAGCGAAAGGCTAACCCCACTCGACCAAATTACGCCTTTGACGGCCTTGGGAGGCCAATCCTTCCAACAATTCTGCGATGTTCAATAGGCTGAAGAAACACAGGGCACAGTCGGCGCCGTCATTACCTCATCACCCTGTGACGACCACATCGGCCACCCCGCCCGTTGCTGCATCCTGATCTTGCGTGCTCGCATGCCACACAATTAACTTTACGGAATCTAAAAGTCGATAACGCCCATTTTCGCCCAAACAATCTTTTTTCGAACGCAACGACACCTCTGCAGATTCCGACTCTGCGCCATTCCACTTGGTTGCACATTGCTTCCGACCGACGCTCAATGCTATTGATTCTCGCCGTCACCTTCTTCCACTATTATCTGGGGTCTGGGCATAGCCCTGTTTGAATCATGTCTTCGTGGACCGGCAGCCTGTTTAAGGCAAACCCCAAAGAGCCTGAGATTATGGCCGACTCCAAGGTTCACGAGGCTGGCTTCTCCCCATCTCCAGACCGAGCAGAGCAAGGCGGCCGATCACGCCGCAAGCTCAATCGTATCGACAGGCCAAGGACTCATTCAATCTCTGGCTCGACAGTGGATCCGGAGGATAGTGATGAAGATATGATCAAGAAGCAGATGATCGAAGAAGAAGGAAATGCCATTAAATATCGGACGTGTTCTTGGAAGAAAACTGCGGCCCTGCTCTTTAGTGAATACATCTGCCTGGCCATCATGTCGTTCCCGTACTCATATGCCACTCTTGGACTCGTACCTGGCCTGATCTGCACGGCTGTCGTTGCCGGAATGGTGCTATACACCTCGCTCATCGTTTGGTAAGGCTCAAAATAGCCGCAGGCGATGCTATCAGACTGACGCGATGCGATAGGGAGTTTTGCATGCGACACCCTGAGGTCAAGGACGTGTGTGACGTCGGACAGGTCATATTTTGGGGWCATGAATGGGCATGGTGAGCCAACGTGCAATGTCAAAGTCTGAAATGTCCCGCTAATTTCATCCTCTTTGCAGGTGGTTCACGGCCTTTATGTTTCTGCTCAATAACACCTTCATCCAGGGTTTCCACTGCCTGGTAGGCGCAAAGTACCTAAACACTATGACTGGTGGAAGCTTGTGTACAGTGGCGTTCAGCGCGATCGCCGCAGTCATCAGTTGGCTTTGCTCCCTGCCTCGCACTTTCGAGACGCTCTCGAAGCTGGCCGCTGCCTCTGCATTCTTCACGTTCATCTCGGTGATCCTTGCGACGATTTTCGCTGGAATTGAAGATCATCCGGGGGCTGGATGGCCATCAAAAGGTGATCCGACCGTCTACGCTTTTCCACCACCTGGAACCACCTTTGTTGCAGGAGTCAATGCATTCATGAACATCAGCTACACCTTCATTGGCCAAATCACCATTCCATCCTTCATCGCGGAGATGAAAGATCCCAAGGATTTTCCCAAGGCTCTGTGGGCCGTCACGATTGCAGAGGTTATTCTCTTCTCCCTGGTCGGCTCGGTCATTTATGCGTATACCGGAACCAACTACAACACCGCTCCTGCATTTGGATCGCTCGGCAACGAGCTCTACCTCAAGGTCAGCTTCAGCTTCATGATACCGACCTTGATCTTTCTTGGAGTGTTGTACGCCTCGATTTCGTCAAGATTTATCTTTTTCCGCATTTTCCGAGGGACCCACCACGTGGGCAATAACACCGTTGTCGGCTGGGCTTCTTGGGCGGGCATCCTAGCCGTCACATGGGTATTCGCATTCATCATCGCGGAGGTGATTCCATTCTTCTCAGATCTGCTCTCCTTGATGAGCTCGTTGTTCGACAGCTTCTTTGGATTCATCTTCTGGGGTGTGGCCTACCTTCGTATGCGAAGGGTGGATTACGGACCAAGCTTCTGGAGTGTTCGCGGGTGGAAAGGATGGTGCGGTACGATTTCGAACATCATACTCATCGGTATTGGGCTATTCTTCCTGAGCGGAGGAACATATGCTTCAGTGCAGAGCATTCTTTATGGTTATGAAGGAGACAGTTTCGGTGGACCATTCACTTGCGCATACAATGGGCTATGAGGGGCTGTACATCCGAGAACGGCGTTTGGACACGAATTGACGCCTTAGAGCTCGTCCAGTGTTGTATTGTAATTGACAATTGAGCTCGGACTCGGTGGCGTACGTGGATCTATGGTTAGCTGTAACTCTGTATACAGCTGTCAATTACGTCGTGTCCGGTAAGAGTGATTAAAGTGGCAATTAAGCGGTGCGCTCCGTACCGCTTACGTAGTAGCTTATATTACAATTGCCGTACGTTATTACTTTACGGTAGTGTCGTTATAGTAGGCCGCTATAGAGTCGTAACCTACGGATTACTTATAGTTAGTATATCTACTCGAATAGTCGTAATAATAGCCTTAATTATAGCCTTTCGTAATATTTTCGCCGGCGTAGTAGTAGTAATACTAACCTCCGTAAACCCCTACTAGATAGGCTACCCCTATAGTATAGACGCTACCGCTCTCTAGCTAATCGACGCCCTCTTAAAGAGCTATACCGGCTTCTTAATCTATTAAAGAAACGATAGAGTCGTAGGCGATAGGGGCTATATAGCTATAGCGCTTTATTTAGAACGTTACCGAGATAAAGAAGCTACTCGAAGAGGCTAATAATTAGATAGATACTAGTATACGTACGGATAGCGGTATTAAGGATTAGGCGTTTACTACTATTATTATAGCTATATAAGCTACTACCTTACTAGTAAGGTAATACTTTATTACTAAATCCTCCTATAAGACTAAGCTATCGCTATTTAAAGCGGATTAAAAGATATAGACCGAGCTAGTTAATACCTCTAGCGCTAGTATTAATCCGGATATAGGAGCTATTACTCTTCCGAAGGATATAAAAGAGGCGTATCTTTAGGCTTATAAGGGCGCTATAAAGTTCTTTAAGAGGCCGCTTTAATTCGCTACGGAGTATAACTAGCTCTTCTCCGGTACGGCTATAACCGGTATCTATATACGTAGCGCTAGCGCTAGCCTTACTATCTTAAACCTACTTAATTCGAGCGGTAAGGACGATAGCCTCGGAGTTAATATTAATATAAATAAGTTAACGGCTTAGAGGCGTATTATTAATACTATAAACTGTTAGAAAGTGCAGTTATAGAATAGCTGTACATCTAATATAATAGAGAGCTAAGTAGCTATAAGGTTACGTAACTCTATATAGGGTAAAATCTCTTCTTAGGAGATAGAGACACATCTCTAGATAATAAACAAAAATTAACATATTAGTTCCTACTTTTAAGTACTGCCTATCGGAGATAGTAAGCTAGTTAAAGATTAAGATACTCTTATACTCCACCCCTAAAATTCTGCGAACCTCCGACTAATATTTAATAGGTTATAAGCCCGGGTTTACCGAAGGAAAAAGACCTTAACCTTAAAGTAGTAAAGGTTTCTCCTACCTTATAAAGCTAATATAGAAAGGACACTAGTTTCTAGTACCCTATCTTATACTATTAGGAGTTTTAATAGCAGGTTAGATAAGAAGAAAATATAGAAGATAGATTAGTTCCTAAGGGTTTAGAACATTTAACTATTAGAACTAAGGGATTATCTAATAGCTATAAGGAGTAGAGGACTCTAAATCTAAAGCCTTAAAATATATATACACCCTTTACTTTACTACTAAAGCCTTAGTAGGACTAAGCTATTTATATACTAAAATAGAGGAAAAGAAGGATAGTTAGACCTATATTAGGATTCTAATCCTAATAAGAGAGAACTAGAAAAGATAGTTTGGACTATAGAGGGATAACCTAGAAGGAAAAGGCATCTTCTATAATATTAAGGGATTAATTAACCTAGATAATTTATTACTCCTTAATCTAGATGCTAGGGTTATAAGAATAGCTAGCTAGCTAAACTTTTAAAAGGAGAATACTAAGTGCAGGTATAAGCTAAGATTAAGAATTAGCTTAAATAAAGCAGATAAGATTTAATTATTAATAGATATAAAGATAGCTACTAAAATATAGCTCTTCCTCTAGAAGAAGTATAGTAAGGTACTTATAGTATATGCTATATTAATAGTATAATAACTTATAAACTTTAGAATAGAAGAGGAAGATATAGTAAGATTAGCCTAGGTATAGATTAGTTTAATAGTAAAGAGGATTATAGAGGTTAATAAAAGGGAGTTATATATAAAAGAACCTAAAAGGAAAATTAGGATCCTTCTTTTAGCACTCCCTCCTAAGTTTAAATTAACTAAGAATRYAATTATAGCCTAGCTAATACTTACTAGGAACTATAAATAGATCCTACTTATCCTTAAATCTTAGGAAGTAAGGGACCTCTATTATAAGAAGGACTTTATAATAGTAGCCTTTAGAAGGATAAGAATATACTTCCTCTATAATAGATAATACTTTATATAAGATTATCTATAGCTAGGAAAGGCAAAGAAAGTAATTAGACCTTAGGAAAATTTCCTATTTAGAAATAGGGATTCTCTAAAGCTTAAAAAGAGAAAGATCTCTAGTAAGAAATACTCCTCCTCTTTATTAAAGAGTATTAAGAAAAGAAGAGACTCTCTTAAGGAATTTAAGAAGGCAATAGAGGAAATAATTAGAAAAGAGGTTTCTAAACTTAGGAAAATAAGGAAGACTACTAAGAAAGTATTCCTTACTAAATAAGCCTAATCTAGGGAATCCTCCCTAACCTTATTAAGTACTACCTTATCCTAATTTAAGGAGGAAACTAATAAGATTATATACTCTTCTTTAGAGGTAAAAGGCAAGTTAACCTCCTTAGAATAGTTACTAGACTCCTATACCTTATCTTATATAACTAATTAACTATAACTCTTTAGATCTATAATTCCACTTTAAAGGAAGAAATAGATTAAGGTTAGGAGTAGATAGCTATAAGCTATATATAAAGGAAAGGTAGTTATAGGAGGCTAGAATAGGAAGAACATCTTACTTAATAAAGTTTTGTTTATACCTAATTTAGGAGTTAATCTTATTTCTTAGAATTAGTTTAGCTATTAGTATAGTATTTAACTACCCTAGTTTACTCTAGT